TGAGACAGGGTTTCTCTGTGTAGTTTTGGTGCCTGTCCTTGGATCTCGCTCTGTAGACCAGGCTGGCCTCAAACTCACAGAGATCTGCCTGGCTCTGCCTTCCGAGTGCTGGGATTAAAGGCGTGTGCCACCGCCGCCTGGTGGAATCTGCTTTCTTGAAACAAGATCTCCCTATACAGCCCAGGCTGGTGTCAAACTCGGTCCTAAGCCTCTCAAGTGCTAGGACTGGGTGTGATGACCACACCCAACTTCAACAATGTTAAACTATAGCCAACAAGTAGGAATACTCCATAATCTCTATAAGGAATTGATTGACTGAAGTACAGTACACTATAAAATAAATACCAGTAACTATTAAAGTGCTGGTGTGGATGAGTATTATTAACATGGAAATATTCAAGGAATTTTATTAGTGAAAATCATAACAAAGATGTATATGTAGTATAAGTTTGTTTTTGTAAAAGGTTACTAATTTACGTATGGTAAAGGCATTGAAAACTGCTTTAGGCAACTTACAGCATGCCCTTTCTGAGTAGTGAGTTGATAGTCTCACCTTTTTTTTTTCTATCATGAACAAATATTATCATTATCATTATTATTGGCTTTTTGAGACAAGGTTTCTCTATGTAGCCCTGACTGTCTTGGAACTTGCTCTGTAGACCAGGCTGGCTTCAAAACTCATAGAGATCCACCTGCCTCTGCCTCCCAAAGGCTGGGAATAAAGGCGTGTGCCACCATCAGCCAGCACAATTATTTCTATTATAAGAAACAAATGCCCTGCCTGAATGTGGTGCACACATCTGTAGTCCCAGCAATTGGCAGAGGAAGGAGCAGAACAGAATTCAAGGTCAGCCTTAGTTACACTTGAAATCAAGGTCAGGTCTGAGCCTCTGTCTTCAAGGTGGGGTTGAGGTGCTGGGAGCCCTAAATTTAAAGCAAAACACAAGACCCTAGGCCTATCATCTGTCAACTTTGGGGAAATTGCCCAGAAATCCTTAGCAAAAGGATGTCTTTGTCTTCTCATCCTTTCTAATTAATCCTGCTTTTCTTTAAGTATGGAAGGAATGTAAAATCGTCATTTAATTCTATTTCTGATTAGTTTTTAGAATAACAGTATTATTATTATTTTTTTGAGGTGCTGACAAGATGATTTGGTGAGTAAAGGCACTTATGGGCAAGCCTCACACATAAACACATATACATACATACACCACAGCACCCCTACACATATAAACACCCTACAGACACAGTAAAAATGTTGATATGAAATATGTCAGCTATATTATGGACTACAGATTGTTTAGAACATTGCTCTGAAGTCCAAATAATAAAATCACCATCTTTTTTCTTCCCTTTTCTCTTTTCTCCCCCTCCCCTCTCTATCTCCTTGAACTTTGGATCCTCTTGCCTCTAAAGCGCTGGGATTAAAGGTGATTGCCACCACATCCCACACAAATGTGTTGTTTAGAGAGTTTTTAGCCAACTGGATGGCCCAGCTGTTCGAGCTGAGTTCTGACACTGGCACTGACGTGGTAGGAGCAGACAGCCTCCTCCTAATTGTCCTCTGACCATCACACACACACACTCACACGCCCTCGGACAGATACATACAATAAAATGATACTGTATTGTTCGACGGCTCGTTTGTGAGCTGAGGCTCTGGTGGAGCAGCTGACCCTCTGCAGGTATGAACATATATTCTGTTTGGGAGTCTGACAAGTTCATGATCAGACGGTTTGCTAAGGGCCTTATGCTGCATCATATGATGGCAGGGTTGCATAAGGAAGAGGTCCAACTGGTAGGGCTACCTCACTTTCTAACCCGTTCTGTCAGTGGCAAGTCCAGTTTCTCAACACCTCACTCACTCCCTTGAGCTGGGTATTAATTGCTGCTGGAGGTGGTGCCCTTCTAACCCAGTTAGCTCCTCTCAGGTTTTACCTCTTAGAAATTCCACCATCTCTCAATATGAGTTACCCTGAGGACCAAGCCTTGGGGCTACAAACCACACCAATACCTGGGCCTCACTGAAGCATCCGATATGTATGGTCTGAGACCTTCATCACTGTGTGGACTAAAGGATGTGTGGTGAAGAGCAGCTGTCTCAAAAAGCCCAAAAGGAAAACAATGGCAGTGAGGTTAGACCACATTTGGGGCATCATGGTCAGAAAACCCAGAGGGGACTGTGGGCACTGCATGAAGACAGGAGCTCCAACCAGAGGCTAAGGAAGCTGGGCCCTTTGGAAGTGGTTTCCAAATTGAAACGAAGAAACTTGTTTTGGCTCTTTGTTCCCAGTGGAATATGGGCATTACCTGGTTCACTCCCACATGTCCCGAGCAGGAGAGCCTTGGCACAAAACAAGCACTGAAAGAACCCTGCTAAAGCAAAGCCCACCGGGCTCTCCTGGAAGCGGAACACTCGGTTAGGACTGGGCCATGCTTCCCAGCAGGCCCCAGATGCTCTTCTCAGGGAGGAACACAGGCTTTGCTAACTTGGTTCATATGCCATGCTAGGGTTTCATTTTTGAACTTCAATGTTAAATGTCAAAGTCCTCAAATTTTACAGGCAAAACAAGCATACATTTACAAGGTCTCTTGACCTATCTTTCAAATATCTTTAAATTCTATCGGCTATAGACTTAAAAAACATCCAGCTCAGGCATGTTTGGTCTGTGCTGTAAATGTGGAGAACTGATTTTATATATATCAAACTGTTTAGGATGATGTGTAAGGCTTTTCTTTCAGACTTAAATATCATACATAATCCATACTCTCAAACACCTACAGAAAATGCTAATACTGTTAATTTTGTCACATCTACAGCAACCATTCTGGAAGAACGCTTTTTCTAAATTGGGCAAGACCCCAGGCTATCTTTAAAAGCTCTAACAGACAGCTGCCAGCTTCCAACCACATCTGCCCCCGTCAGGAATGTAGCTGCCTCTATCTTTAGAAGCCGCCAGGAACAATTTCACCCCCAAAGGCTCCTACACAGTGGTGGCGACTGGAATTTATACTTGCTAAGCAAAGACTGGATTCTGCCTCTGGGGTTGAGAAGTAACCAGTTCCATTCCCAAATGAGTTAAAGTGATGCTGTGTGAGGTAATCCATGTGATAGAAATAAGTCTCCAAGAATCATCAGTACTGTAGGCCAGCTTCAGCTCTCTGGCGCCAACCATTTCATTTTGACACTGAAAAGCCCACTTGTTATCTATTTTGGTATATTCTTCAACTTGGTTTTCATTTAGTAAGGTAAAGGACCACATGCTACTGCCTGGTTATTTTAAAAGCGTTACAAAGCCTTCTTAGGCAGTTTTGCAAAATGATCATGCAGGGCCTCTTGGCCTCTTTTCATATATTTATGGGTATCAAGTAACTCATGCAACCACATTGGCCTTTCGATGACCTTGAGTATTGCTTGTTCTGAGAGGGGAAGCCCACAGGCCAGAGCTGCAGAGCTGAACGCTGGCAACCTAGCTTCTTTAGGTGGAGGTTCAGTCAGTCTCAAACATCCTTATCCTGAGTGGTCCTACTTAGCAGTGTTGGTCACTCACATTCGTTGTCTCCTGCCTCTACCTCCCCAGGGCTAGGATTAGAAATGTGTGCCACCTCACCCTGGCCCAACAGTAGTCTGCTTCTTATTCATGAACGAGAGTACGCCAAATAGTTTCGAGTAACGCCCCTCCCCCAGACAAAGCAAACCTTGACTTATTTTATATAGTGGTCTCCATTTGTCCACGAAGGCTAGAACCTAAGTCTCCCCATGGATGCGGCATACAATTGCAGGGAGCAACACAAAACTTGACTCTGTATGTGTACTGGACAGATACACATATGCAGGCATGTTAAGGTTCCCTTTATAAAGTGGCTACAGTAAGAGCTTGGCAGCTCACACAATAAACAGTAATGTGCTGCTACACTGCTCTCTCATGTTGAACCTGGAGGTAAACAGTGCTACTGATCCAGACCAAGAGACAAGGGCTCCAGAGCAGGTAATGCAGTGTGGCTGTGTGGTGTGAAGGGAAGATTCATGTTCCAGCAGGGTGGAGCGGGACCCTGTCAAACTTCCATCATGCTACTCAGGAAAGAATGTTTCCTTTAACACATGGGGCCCTGGAGTAACAAAATCACAGAAAGAGAAGCCTCAGTGAGGACTCAGGAGGTCCCTTACTGTATTGAGATGAAATGAACCTGAGTCCCCCAACACTGTCCAAACCGCACATCAACATCTGAAATTAATAAACATTTTCTATAAAGGACCTTGGTGGGGAAAATACAGGTAAGCAAAGAACTTCCAGTTTTTTATTTTTTAAAATTATTTAACAAGGAAAATAATCAAGATTTTAAAAATTAGAATGGATTAATTTACAATATAACAGTCAACTTATAACATCAGCCCTTTACGTAGGGTCACAGAGGCCACAGTTCTTGCTGGAACAGCAGGTGTGCACAGTTACGTTCTGACCTTTATTTGACAGCACGGATCTACAAAAGTCAACAACTTCCACAACCTCCCTTCTCTCCAGAGCTCACATACCTGCCTAGAGCAGTACTCAGACTTTTAAAACCCAGCTGTATTTTGAAAAATCAGACAACTAATCTCATGAGAACACTCTTAAGACAATTATAAAAAACAAACACCTTAAAATAAATTTGTGGCACATCAGACAGCTTAAAGAAATAGCAAAAATAAAACTAATGTTTAAGAATTATCATCTCTTGCTCTTTTTTTTTTTTAGAAACCACCCAGGCAAGATGTTTTCCGTCATTAACTCTGCTTCTCCTAGTTAGCAGAGATAATTACATGAGGCAGAATGCACCATTTCTGACCCTTGGTTGTAGCTGCCAGCTTGAGAGTTTATGACTAAACACGAAGATAAGAAGACTAAGCTCACACACTCTGGAATGGGAAAAACAAATGTTTCTCCTTATAATGTTTTTGTCTGTCTTCATATTCAAGTCATGGAAAAGTTCACAGCAGTTAAAAGGCTGATTCTACAGATGGTTGGCTAAACCCAACCAACATCCACTTCACACACAGCACTCTTCCGGGACACTAGTCAACAGTACTGCGTTGCCAACTCACATACTCTAAGCACTGCAGTGAACAGCAGTCAACGGTTTACACAGACTAGGTATCATAGCTCTTAGAATACTTCATTTTCACACTCGCCAGTGTGTGAACAAAGCTTCAAATTACTAACTGCCTTAAAAGAATACGGTCATTTGTGACAGCCGGGCAGGCACTTAAACTCAGGGAGAGGCTTTGCAGTTGAGGTAAACCAGAACTATCTTTAGCAATCACATTCTAAACCCACTTTTTGATACCACACCAACTCAACTTACTCAGCTTTTCAGTCTGTCACTGTTGTGCAAAAATCCATACCCTGTGGGACATAAGCTACCAAGAGCATCTGAAGCCTGAATTGGCTCAATTTGTATACTTCTGTGCTCAGAACATATTGGAGACCAACTATAGACATATACATACAAGGGATATGATCAAAAGAAGCCAAGAGGAGTAACTTTCTCCTTAACTGGACACTAAGTTTAAGACTTTTTAGGTAAACATCACCAGTCACACACACATTAAAACAGAACAAGCCAAGGTGACGGCCTCAGCAGCTTCCGGAAGACGACTGAGCAATGCTCTAAAAGGGGGCACTTAGGAAAGCAGACCCGCACACGAATGGTTCTAGCATTAGCACTGAGGAGCACAGTGTGTGTTTCTCCCTCTTCTGAATTAATTCCAAGGTGATGGGGAATTTGCTAAACCATGAAAATTCCTACTAGAAAGTAAAGGGTCAGCCAGGTGTGGTGGAACAGGCCTGTAACCCCAGCACTTGGGAGGTTGATGCAAGAGGACTGCTGTGAGTTTGAGGCCAGCCAGATCTGTACAGCCAGGCCTGTCACTAACAAAAGAACCAGAGGATCTTAGTAGAACAGAAGAGAAAGTGGCCATTTGGGAATTAGTTTTGTTTTTTTCAACAAGGTACCCAATTTTACTTTTTCATTAGCATTACTGGGCTGAGTTTAAGCATTATCACAAAAAACAAAACCCACTAATGAATTACCAGGGCATTACCTGCAAATGGAAATACCAAGCCCCTATACACCAACCATTAATGGCATTTACATTCTTATCTCAAACAGCAAAAGATAACTCTTGACTTTAACGAACACATCAGCTTTTGTTATTTGGCAAATTAACTTATTGACATGTTTTAAATAAATACTTTAAAAAAGCTATATAAAGAACAGTTATCTGACAGGGAGAGAGATGAAGGTATGAACTCTGGCTTTAGTTTCCATGTGCTAAAAATAAGGGTCTGAAAATGTAGACTTCTAAGTTTACCCCACTGCACACCAAGTGTATCCAGTCCTGGTACAGGACCACACTTTTATTCTTGTAGCGCTAACAGCAGGCATCAGGCAAAAATCTATAGGCAGAAGTAACGGGCAGGGAGCAAATATGGGTGAATTTTTTTCCTCTGTGATGCTAACTGGCTTGTTCAAGTTTTGAAACCATGACCCTGGTCCATTAGCACCATGGTTTATTCAACTGAAATAATTATTCAAGCCCTTGTGGGCTGCTTGAACTGCTATAGGATGAGGGAAGGGGGCAGTGAGAAGGGGGCCAAGGGCAACTTTCTCTCTTTCTCTTTCTCTATATATATATGCCATGAATAACGATGCAGCCAAGATATAATCTTTCTGCTAATAAACTATATTTCAGGTTGGAAGAATCACTGATCATAGCTATAAAGTAATAATAACATACTAATTTTTATGGTATCTGACTAACTATAGATGGAGAGTTTCCTGGTATACCCAAATTTGATTATAATGGAAGTTCATTGAATACTAAAGTATCAGTAAACTAGGAGAAATTACAAATATTTATAGGTAGTAACCTACAAAAAAAAAAAGATTAGATTAACAATTAAGTGAAATTACTCATAATTGTTTCAGTATCACCTTTCTCTTGGGAGAACCCAAACAGGGAAACTCTTCATGCATACAGACATGGCATCTGCCATCAGGTGCATACACCTTTCCCTCAAAGGTAGATGGCTCATTGGCTCATAGTCACTTTCCTATATAATGGTTCTTGAAACATCTCTCCCACTTACAAACTGTCAAGGAAGCCTACAGCCCACTTTTAGGAAAAAGGCACTTGGTTGTGAGAGTTGGGTTTAATTTCGTGCAGCCGAGAAGACTAGATGGACTCAAGTCAGTGTCCATGTTTCCGTTTATGAACACAGAGCAGATGCCAGTTTATGGAATACAGCTGATCACAGACAAATCAACCTATCAGCAACATTAGTTATATCCGTGGGAAAACAGTAATCTGATATTTCCCCCCAAACTAACAAGGCCAAGTTCAACAGTTAGGGGAGGGGGAAAATCACCAGCAGTTGCTACCTTAGAGCTTAAGAAACTGTTGTCAAGAGAAGCGCATGTCTGGTTCTCTTTATCAGAGTGTAAATTGCTTTCAGGACAGAGCCGGTTGGCAGAGGTGTGTTTGTTTCTAAGGAGAGCCCAGGTCAGGAAACTACTGGGGAGCAACAGGTGCGTTTCTCTGGTCAGACAGCCCAGTGAGGAGGTAGTTGTTCAGAGGTCTCAGGTTAGATGGCTGTGCTCATCCACTGAGTCAGGGAAGCAGGAAGCAGGAGCTCCGATGAGATGCAGAGAGCAGCAGGGACACACCTCCTCCAGGGATGTCAGAACCAGGGCATCAGTGCAGCTGAAAGAGATGGGATGTATGAGAAACAAAGGCAAGAAACGAAGTGTGAATTAAGACATTCAAACTTGTCCTACCTTGAAAGTGGCTCTTTTCTGGTGACAGAACATTCAAAGAGTCTAGAGAAGAATACAGTGCCATTGATTTTCTATATTGTGAATCTTCAAACTCTTGTTCTTTCCACAAACATGGTACATATAGGTATCAAATTCCTAATACTAAAAATAGGAAACTGAGCCGGGCAGTGGTGGTGCACACCTGTAATCCCAGCACTCAGGAGGCAAAGACAGGCGGATCTCTGAGTTCGAGGCTAGCCTGGTCTACAGAGCAAGTTCCAGGACAGACTCCAAAGCTACAGAGAAACCTTGTCAACAACCCCCCAACTTCCCCCAAAGTAATCCCCTCCCCCACAAAAAGGAAGCTGCCTGTAGAATAAATGCTGAAAGAATAATAATAATAATAATAATGCTGAAAAGGGACCATTAAAAAAAATTATTTTTTAAAATATTTATGTGTGTGTATGTATGTGTGTGTGTGATGTATGTTGGTGCCTGTGGAGACCAGAGGAAGGGCACTGTGGCTGTGAGTGACCTAACATAGATGCTGGAAAATGAATCAGGTCCCCTGGACGAGTAATATACCTCGCCACTGAGCCATGTCTCCAGCACCCAGGAAAGTTATTTTCTAGTTACAAATACATGGAAACTCTCATTTAAATTGCAAAAGACAGTAGTGCTCACACTATTGGGAACAGCCCAATACTAAACAGGAGATAGAGTTACGATGAGAAAACACACACTCACCTTACTACATCACCACACAGGGCAGCCCCATACAGCCTTGGGTGCCATCATCATTGCTGTGGAGCTTTTTCATTCGGTACTGGCGTATCTCCCTTACCAGTGTGTAAAAGGCATCTTCCACGCCCTATTAAAAGAAGAAGGATAAAAGAAAACAAACAACTGCCACAGGTCAAATTTTAAGCTCTCACACTTCTTTGTGTGGGTTCAAATACTAAATCAACAGTCAGTAAATTAGGGTGCCTTAGTGTGGTGGTTTGAATAGGAATGGCCCCCAGAGACTCATTTGTTTGAATGCTTTGGCCCATAGGGAGTGGCGCTATTAGGAGATGTGGCTTTGTTGGAGGAAGTGTGTCACTGTGGAGATGGGCTTTGAGGTCTCATATGCTCAAGCTACGCCCAATGTGGCACGCAGTCTCCTTCTGTTGCCTGAGGATCAAGATGTAGAACTCTCAACTCCTTCTCCAGCACTACATCTACCTGCAAGGTCGCCATGTCCCATCATGATATAATGGACTGAACCTCTGAAACTTAAGCAAGCCCCAATTAAATGTTTTTCTTTGTAAGAGTTGTCATGTCATGGTGTCTCTTCACAGCAACAGAAACCCAAAGTAAGACAACTAGGAAGAAGACACTAAGTCCAGCATTCCTAGGGGATCACACTGATAGGCTGATAAAGAAATGGCATGTTTGTAACAAACAACACAAAGAGAAAACAGCACGGAGAAAAGAGCAATGTGGGGCACAGAACAGACTCGACCAAATGTGAGGACTCCCTTCAGTAGGGATAGAAAAAGGACTTATGCTTACAAGTATGTTTAAGTTCTTCACTAGAAAGAGTTGAGCCTGTTACCACAGGAATAAAAATGCCACAGAATAGTGTTTATGGGGGAGAGGAGGTAGCAGACACACAGAAGATTGACAAAAAAAACAAACAAAAACCATCAGAAAGAAAAGCATTACAAAGAGCATGGCCTACACCTCTACCACACTTGACCAACCAAACCTCCCTGACTTAAACAAACCCCCATACTACTCAAATCTCTTAGCATACCTGTCGGGTCTTAGCTGAGGTTTCAATGAATGGAATTCCGTAACTCTTGGCCAGCTCATGGGCTTGCTTTGTGTCAACTGTCCTTGTGGGCAAGTCACATTTGTTCCCTACCAGCACCATAGGCACATCATCAGAGTCTTTCACTCGCTTAATCTGCTCCCTAAAACAGAGAATATAGTAGTAGATCATAAGAATACTAAGCTTTCTGGGAGGAATAAACTGGTAGGGGAAGAGAGGGTGGTAAGTCCTTTTAGCTTTTATTATTTGGCTTACAAATTCTGAACACTTATAATACAACTCCAGCCCCGTAAGCTAAGGATGTTGGTTTAGACTTGGTGTCGTAGCCACGATGAGGCTGTGTCGACCAATTCACTTCCTACAAAGAGTTTTCTTTTTTTTTTTAATTTTTATTTTTTTGGTTTTTTGAGACAGGGTTTCTCTGTGTAGCTTTGTGTCTTTCCTGGAACTCACTCTGTAGCCCAGGCTGGCCTCGAACTCACAGAGATCTGTCTGCCTCTGCCTCCCGAGTGCTGGGATTAAAGGCGTGCGCCACCACCGCCTAGGATACAGCTGGCTCTATCCTGACACATGCCCTCATTAGGCTCCTAGATTTTCCAAAAAGCTTGGCTCTGGATTTCACTGGAAACTACAAATAGTACTTTAGATTAAGTTTAGAAGTATAAAAAGTAGAACTTACAGATTCTAAATGACTTAAAAATTTTTAACATATCTTAATTTGTGTATATGCATATGCCATTGCATACATGTGGAGATCAGAGGAAAACCCTGGGAAGTTGGTTTTCTTCTTCTATCATATGGGTCAGGGGGAATCAAACTCAGGTTGTCAGGCTTGGCAACAGGGACCTTTGTCCACTGAGCCATCATGCTGGCCCCTAAATAACTTTTTGAAGATCCCTTTACAACACTATGTAATGGAAGATAATCGAGTCACTCTTTAAGTTGGGTGGGGCCCTAATACTTTGCTCAAACAAAATTATAGCTAGAAGCCCAAGATATGTAACATCAAGGAAATTCTAGATTTGCTCTTAGTATATGTGTATGCATGCAGGCATGTGCACAGATCCAGAACTACCAAAGATAAGTTTTTCTTTTCCTTAAGGATAGGGTTTCTCTATGTAGCCCAGGCTGGCCTCAGACTCAGGGATCCACCTACCTCTGCCTCCCGAGTGCTGGGATTAAAGGTGTGTGTCACCAGCCCTGGCAAAGCTAGCTTTCTCTTCAATGTCACATACGACAGAGCACCTGGTACGTTCTGGAAGTTATGGTTTTGGATTCTCTTGACAAAGAGCTTCTGTGCTAACAGAAAACTGGCAGTCAACACGGTAGCCACCACTGAGCACTTCACCAGTTGCCTCTGTGGCCAAGGAACTAATTCTTCAGTTTTGTGGGAACGTGAGATAACCCTATCTGGTCATGGCTACCACACTGCACAGCACTGTTCTAGACTCTACCCTTCCATTTCAGTCACATACCCCAACTGCATCCTACTGGCTATTCACAGAACTGCTTTGGTGTAATGTCAGAACCATTTGCCACCCCCACCCCACCTCCAAACCCAAAACAAAACAAAACACCAAAACCAAGCTGGGCAGTGACAGTGCACGCCTTCAATCCCAGCATGCAGGAGGAGGCAGAGGCAGGTGGATCTCTGAGCCAGCCTGGTCTATGAGAAAGTTCCAGGACAGCTAGGTCTGTTACACAGAGAAACCCTGTCTCAAAAAACAAACAAAAACCCAAAACAAAAAACCTCAAACAAAAAGATACCCCCCTGCCCCCCCAAAACTCACCAGGATCTTACTATTGTAGCTCAGGTTGGCAGTGAACTCCCCATCTAGACCAGGGTACCCCTGAACTCTCAATCCTCTTGCCTTGGCTTCCAAAGTACCACCATGCCCAGTGGTAGTTGCCTACGTTAAGGCTAACTTGTAAACCAGCCTAAACACCTGGAGCATGTCGCTGTCTGTCATTGCTGTTCCCACATTATGAGGATCAGACACAATTTCTTCTCAGTGTCAGTGTACTTCTTCTAAGCAAGTAATTTATTCTCAGCATACACAAACTGACTAGACAGCTATCATGTCTGTAGTGTGCCCAATGAAGATCACTGGGGTATCATGCCATTACAGAATAAGCTTACTGAGTTTCCTCTTCACCTATTCTTAAGCCTATTTCTGAAATTAACATTATTTGCTATACTACACACATGCTACAGTGCAAATATGGAGGTCAGAAGATGGGTCTTTCCTTTGATCATGTGGGGTCCTGGGATTGGACTCAGCAATCAGGCTTGGTGGCAAGTGCCCTTACCAACTGACCCATCTTGCTGACCCTACTATATATGCTTAAAAGATGCTTTAAATAAGTGATCGGTCAGCGACAGTCATCCTGTGGGATCCAAAGGTATTAGTTTTAAGATACTGTTACCCCCCCCCCAAAGAACACCAAACTGAGGAAATATGGAAATAAGCCAGGACTCAAGGGTGTAGGCAGACTTGCAAAGTATGTACTACAGGCCAAGCACTGTCCTGAGTGTTTACTGTTTACTCTTGGCAACTTTATGAAGGAGGTATTCTTTTATTATTATTTTCTGTGTATGAGTGTTTTTCCTACATGTCTGTCAGTGCACCACATGTGTATCTGGTCCTCAGGGAGACCAGGGCAGGGTATCAGATGCCCTGGAACTGGAGTTAGATGGTTTTGGGCCCCATGTGGGTACTGGTAATTGAACCTGGGTCCTCTGAAAGAGTAGTCAGTGCTCTTAACCCGTGAGCCCTTTCTTAGGTCCTAAAGGAGGTATTCTTATCTCATAATAAATTCAGAAACTGAGACACACAGATTTAGTGTTTTGTCCTAAAGTTAAATCTTTATTTAAAAGATTTTTTTTAGATAAAGTTTAAATAAGTTAAACTTTATCTAAGATTTTTGTCCTAAAGTTAAATTTTTACTTAAATCTCTACTTAAAACTTACTCAGCTAATTAGTAACAGAATCAAGTTTCAACCTTGACAGTACCTGAAGATAGAATATTGCTCTAAGAGAGAAGCCTGGTGTTTTAGGGGTCTAGCTCTGCTACTAAAGAAAAAGAAATCACAATCTGAAAATCCAACAAACCACTTCTGAACTCTGTGAATCTATAAAGTAAAAAATATTGGCTTAGCATGATGGCATACCACCTGTAAGCTAGCACTTTGGAGACTGAGGCATGAAGATTGTAAATTCGAGGCTAGCCTGGGAAACACATAACATCCTGTCTCAAAAATATAAAATGAATAAATATGAATGCCGTAATATTTCTTAGGGCCCATCTAGCTTTGAAACTTTACAGCTCTGTATGAAAAGGCCACTTCTGTGTGCTATGGTTTTGTTGCTATCTATTATCTTTTCTGTTATGCATGCTTCATTTTTTTTTTTTTTTATATAAGAGTTGTGTAGTAACAGTATACTTACTATACATAGGAACATTTACTTTCAGTGATAACCAGATTCTCCTTTTCTTTCCTTTTAATACTGGAGATTGAAACTAGGGCCTCACACATGCTAAGCAAGTGCTGTACCACTGAGCTCCAGCTCCAGACCTTAACCCCAAATTCTCATTATCACACAAGCTAACAGTAACTTTTCCTGTAAGAAAAAAGTATGTAAGTGCCAGTGAGACGGCTCAGTCAGTGAGCAAAGGTACCTACTGCAGAGTCCAGATCCCCAGGACCTAAGGAGAGAACTTTTATTAGCTGTCCTCTGACTCCCATGGCACACATGTACACTTGTCCCCACCTCCACAAATAATCACAAATTTTAAAGTTGTATGTTCCCCAATTCAGAACACATGTAAAATTTTTGTTTCAGAAAATAATATTCCCAGTACCTGTAGAGGTTAATATCTGCAAATGATTTGCTATTGTTGATGGCAAATACGCAGAGGAATCCTTCGCCTGTCCTCATGTATTGGTCTCTCATGGCACTGTACTCCTCTTGTCCAGCTGTGTCCAGTATGTCCAACAGACAAGTCTCACCATCAATTACCACTTGTTTTCGGTAAGAATCCTGGGAATGTGAAAGGGTGAGGAGGTGGTGGTGGTGGTGGGGCATGGATAGGCTCTATCTTTATTTAAAATCAGAGGAATGTAATTTACCAAGAATAAATAAGCTCGACTATGTGACTTGCCCTCAAACTACTAACAGGTAGCATAAACAATTCTCTCTCTCTCTCTCTCTCTCTCTCTCTCTCTCTCTCTC